CAGCCGGGCGAACGCCGTTCCGATGCCGCTGCGTGCGTGCTCGTCACCAGAGCTGGTCACGTACGGGTGTGCCGACCATTCGCTGCGGGGAGGCGTAAATGGGCGTGGCGCTGCACGTAGTTCTGTGCAAGTGACTTTTCTTTTCGTTGTGTTGATGTCGCCAGTATTTGTCAAAACTGTCTTCTGCTCTGTGTAGGTTTGTGAAAAACCTAGATTTCCAAAATGAATAAAGATGCCCAGATGAGAGCAACCATTAACCAAAAGCTAATAGAAACAGGAGAGCGAGAACGGTAAGTAGGCTTCCTCCTCCATGCCAGTGAGAGGCTTGAAATATTATCAAACGTGAACTGTACCTAGAAGTAAAGATTAAGTAAACATAACTCTAAATTCTTCAAATGTCTGCATGTGAAAGTCTTGTGTATTATATAAAGCTACATAAAAAATATTTTTGCCTTTTGAACAGTTTTAGTTTTACACTTGAAAAGAGAAGCTGGGAAAATAAAGGATGGGGTGGTTGGCCTATAAACTCTAAAGCTTTTTCTTATTCTGGTATATTGTGTTGGAAAGCTCTTTGTTCATATAAAAATCACCATTAATTGCAATTTGTTGCAGTTAAATCATGTTATTTCCTGATAAAAAGAATGAGACAAAACTTTCCTTTTTGCTTTCAAGCTTTTCTTGTGTTCCTATATCTTTTGTTAGGGAAAGAAGTGTACAGTGGAACACATAAAACAGCACTTGCGCAAGTCATTGTAGAGATCCCCATAAAGGCAAACGAGTAAATTACGCAATGTAGTGTGGCAGCTAGTTTTCGGCCTTTTGTTGTCTCTTCAGTCTGTTCTATTTGCATTGTATTTACGTATTGCTAGCATGCTTATGACATTTCCCTCCTCATCATTTCGCTATATTTGTAACACCACACACCAAAAGCTCCATTTCCTTCATTTTTCAAGGCCTGTGTGAGAAGGAGTCTTCTTCCTAGGTCATCGCATAGCCCTGTACCTAGTGTAACCTTCTGTAGACTGAGCTGGTGTCTGTGCTCTACTTCTTCCCTGGTTGTGACAGTCCCCTTGGAGATTGCACAGAGCGTCAGCAGAGCAAGCAATTTCTTGAAATGGTATTGGGACCTATTTTACTTTAATTTAAGGGTAAGAAGAGTTTTGACTGGATGTCAAAAGCTGTATTAGAAACAAGCTTTATCAGAGCTGTACTATGATCAGAGACAGAGCACTCAGATTTCTTGAATTAAGAAATACCTGGAAGCAGTGAATTTCACCTGTATTGTTACTCTGCTTTTTGTCATCAGTTCATCTGCCTTCTACACAATTCACTGAGTAAAAAGGATTAGACTGACACAATTCAGCCTCTTGCTGCAATCCTTTCATTCACAGAAACAGAATTTTGCTAGAGTTATTTAGGATGGTACAGAATAAGTAGGCTTGCTAGCTGATGGAATAAAGGATGAAGATATTAAAGCTTATTTTATCATAACTTTCATTTTCCCTTCTGTTTTTCAGTACTAATTTTCACTTTTTTAGCTAGCTTTCAATATTCTCTTTTGATATATGGAGTAGATGTATCGTTGTGGCAGATTGTTGTGTGTCTTCTCTGTTTAATCCTTGAATCCTTGTTGCTTATGCTTATAATTGCTAACCACACTTAGGAAGATAGGATAGACAATCCCTTCGTCTTCACCGAACGCGAGGTAAAGTGTAACTGGGGAGAGAAACCTGCAGTTGAAGACAGTAGTACAGAATTCTGCTTCCAGAAAGGAGGGGGGAATGTTTTATTTTTTTTGAAGGCCTGGTTTCAGGTGAAATATTCTAACTTTGAAAGTTAGCATACATTTGCTAACAGAGTAGACTCGGGCAGTTCAAGTGATTCAAGGCCTTCTACCTCTTTTCTGTGGCAGCAGCATCAATGCTGCCTGAAGAAATACTGTGAA